ATGCAAAACATGCATTAAATAGTTCTTCTTTCTCCCTGTTGCTTGTCACCTTCTTGTCACTTTCTCCCAGCAATGGGGCAATTGGTTGCTTTATATTTTTTCTTGTTTTTAACATGTTGGAAGAAGCTTTTTTGTTATTTTTTACTTTTGTGGCAAGACTTTCTTCATTGTGAGCCTTAGCTTTCCTGACTTCATCTTTACATGCTTGGGCTATTTGCTGATATTCTGCCTTAGTTATGTCCCCCACTTTCCATTTTTTATACTTATCGTTTTTGTCTTTCAATTTGTCAGAGATATGGGTGAAAGGAAAAGAAACCAAACTAAAAGCAAGATTTTCTAAAGTAAGCAAGTTTAAATATGTTTCAAATTGCAGACAAAGAAGCCTGCCTTCTTCTCCAATAAAAATCAATAGGTAGCCTCCTGAAGGCACTAAGATATATAAGCATGGATATCATAAACATGTCTGTTCTGAAAGTTATTGTAAGGGATGGAGAAAAAATGTCATTTGCATAGGAATGTACCACAAATGCTTAATTTACATAATATGCTAAGCCATAAACTATGATTTATGAAAAGGATTTACACAGCCTGGTAAGCTCAAACCAATCATATTACAGCTGGGTAAATGTGTAGATCTAAGCAAAAATCATAAAAAAACATTTTCAAAAATTATCCCCTATCTGGAATATATGTCCGTTCCAGTTATGTATTTTTTCTCCCCTATCAGCTTACTGATTATATAGCAGTCTTCACCATTCCTACTGCTTAAATCAAACACTCAGCTGTCTTTTACCTATTCTAATACAACTAATTAAATCAATACAATAAATCAAACAATAAAATTACATGTTAATATTGTAGCAGAATTAAAACGAATATCAACAAGCATCCAATGTGAATTTCCTCCTCCTTGTGCAAATATTCCTTACTGATTTAACTTAGCTTTTTCACAAAGTTTAAGCGCCTCCTATTCAATCCTACATACATTTTATACATTCTACATCTACCTAGCCACATTCCATTTACTTTAGTGAAGTATAATGTAAATGTGTTTTATATATTACACTTTATTTTGAATATTTTATTTGAACTTTAATTTATTACAATATCTATCAAAACTTAAATATGCATAGAATATTATTAAAAATAACATGTCAGTTACTCCAATTATTACTGTTTATGAAAACCAGCATTACCAATAATGATCAGATAATATAATTTTAATATTATAATGAAATCATTTGTTATTATGTAATTCCTTTATATAAACAAAAAGTTTGCAATTTTATAAGGAAATCAGGAGTACTTTTTAAAAGGGCATTATGAAAAACATTACTAGTTAATGAATTGACATAATGAATATATTTTGAATGCATATTATAACTGTAGCTCTGCTTTTAGTTGCTTTTAAAATGGCCCACTATTGCAAACATGGAGTATCTCCAAGACTCTCCAAAATCAAATCAACTACTAGCAGATTACTAGTTAAATAGAGAAGCGTAATGACACCATGGTGAATTAAAGAAGCATAGCAGCAATGAAAATGAAGGAATGTTTCTAAAGGCAAAACCTGACAGCAGATGTATCGCCATAAGGAAATATATATAACCTAGCCCTTTTTTGCAAATAAATTATACATGCAATAGATTTGTTTCATCACAGTTTATATTCACATTATAGATTATGCAACAAGAAATAGGGGAAAATAACAGAATTCTGTTAATGTTTACTTTAAAATAAATCCCATTATGTGTATATATTTATTATTATGTACAAGATTATAGTCTAAATGTAAGCATTGTTACAGAACAAGGTATGCAAGCTTTTTTAAAAAGAAACTTGCTTAAATTAGGAATTTAAAGCAAATCTAAGTAAGTAAACTCCCAGATTTCTACTTAGGCAGGCTGTGTTCTCATTAACTTAAGATAAGAGTGGAAGAAACAGAGTCCAGACCTTGAAAACATGTACTATCCTTGAAGTTAGATATTCACTCTGAGTTCCTCAGAATGTCAGTGAACAGATTTTGCAGAACAGAAAGGAAGAATACTTAGGAAGTACAATTGTTAAATAGCACCACTTTCCTCCATCATTCTGGCCTCTTAGAAATGATGGAATTATTAAAGCAAAAAATTATACACACATAGAAATCACATACAAAATAATTCTCTCAGCAGCACTGTATAGGATAGGATTAAACGTTTTCTATATTAGTGGACATTTTACTCATGAGAGGTAGTATGCCCTGAGAGTTATCCTTCTCAACAGAATGGCTAATTTTCCACATTATACTAGGCTTTAAATAGCTTGTGAATTACCCACAAGGACAGTTGACAAAGCCATCATGACCAGTATAAATCCAGCCAATATTAGAGATATAAATAATAAATATGGGAATTTCAACTACACCCGTACAGATAGTTGTCGACTTACAACCAAAATTGGAACCAGAACTTCTATCATAAATGGTTGTGGTCATAAGTTCAGTCAGACCCATTCTACAAAGAAATGTATGGTAAACAAATTAGTTATTAAGCAAATCCAGCTTTCCCAATGGGCAATTTTTGTCAAAAAGCAACAAAAAAGGTTGCAACTTATGATCATGTAGAATGCTGATCTACAAGCCAGTTGCCAAATGCTGGAATTGCAGTCGTGACCATGAGGTGGTGCAATGGTCGTAAGTGCAAGTACATACACATCTTAAGTAACTTTTTCCAAGGACATTGTAGTTTTGAATTATTATTAATTGAACAATTATAAGTGGAAGACTATCTGTATGATTTTTATGAGCAGTGTTCTTCTATACTATGAAAAGCATTTACACTATAAGAGTTTTCAAACAGCCTGAAAAAAGGAAAAATTCACCCACTGAAGTACTCAGAACCAGAACAAGATGTATTTGATTATTTAGAATGAAGTTAATTCTTAAAGAAATCAGGGCTGCTAAAGAGAAACAGGCATCAACACAGAGAAACTGTAATTTAATACACCGATGTACCGACCCTCTTATAAAGGTAACATTTGTAATTTTAAAATTGTCCACATTTCCAGATCAAAATCTTACAGAACAAAGCACAAACGTTGTGGCATTACATCTAGGAGATGACTTTTGACTCAGTCTTATAGTGCATCTATAGAACAGGGAAAGGTATTCCATAAACCCCCACTGTGTATTTTCTTCCACTCTTTTCCAGCTGTTTGTTACCTCTTACAAACTCTTCTCTTCATTTCAACAGATGGCTCAGCTGATCCCGCAAATTTGAAGATTGTTCAACACTGTAGAAGAGTTTAATAATACTATTACTATTATTACTTTTTCTTTAAAAATAGGATAAGCTAAGTATATTGACATGTAGCAGAAATACACCAAGGAGAGGAGGAGTGGGAAAGAAGAAAGATGGGCAGAGAGGGATGGGAGAGAGGAGGGGGGGAAGATGAGAAGGATGGGGGGGAGTGGATTGTGGAGAGAGGAGTGGTAGAGCGGGAGGGGAAGTAGAGTAGAGGGGGATGATGGAAGGAAGATAGAAAGTTGGAGGGTGGTAGAAGAAAGAGGTGTATGGAGAGCAGAAGAGCTATAATGGGTTCCTATTTTGGGGGGCATTGTTGACAAGAGGAACTGATGTAATTATTATTTAATACTATATGATATGGGCTATGTATAGTATACATGTGAGTGTGTATTATGAAAAGAAAAGAAAATATTTTTTTTAAAAAGAAGAGTTTAATAAGTGGACATGGATATTTAAATATAATTCCTGAGAAAAAAGACTTCCACAACATAAAGGTGTTTCAGAATAAAATAAGGGGGCATGTGCTGTTTTTATCCACTGAACTCCAACTCCTCTTCCCAAATTATGTAATATAAGGGTAAATAGACTGGAATAATGGGACACATTTTATTTTTATGTGTAACAAACATTACTGTTTCAATATATAATATAGCACTGATTAAGGTTAAAAGCTTACAATTCACTTATAGCAAGAAATGTGGCCTTGGCAGGAGGGAGGCAAATAAATTTAATAAATGTGAATGAATACAAACAAAATATTAGCTATAATATCTAAACTATTAGACTTACATACTACATATACAATCTTTTGAGTACATACGGTATAATTTGCAGTTCACATTTTTCTGATAGAATGGGAGGAAAAGACAAGGAAACTAAGATTAAGTACAATTAAAAGTCATAAAAGGGATGCTTACTGGTGGAATGAATTTGATCTAGTCCTTATACAAAGTATCTTTCCAATGCAATCATATACATATTTACTTACGAGGTAAATGCTATTGTGTCCAATAGAGCTTCTTCACTACTATACTTATTCCAGATTGCAAGCTTCAATAATAAAGAATCTCTAGTAAAAATCAGAAGGAACCCCCCTCCCCCAAAAAGGCAGAACAATTCCAGATCTGATTTACTCAACTGCTAAATCTTCTCACCATAAAAATCACCTGAGATTCACTGATGATTCACACACACACACACATTTTAATATATGTTCTAAAAGCAAGGTATTTAGTGTAGCATTAAATCATTGTTGTGAATATTAATATTGAATATTAATATTTAGTATTTAATAATACATAAAGTGCTAATTAATCCAGCTCTGTAAAGAGGCACCATAATCCAAATTCTATTGAATTTGCAATTTAAAAAACATCCACACAAAGTGGATGCAAGCAAATTTTGAAAAAACAGTAATAAAGATTTCTGAAATAGATAACCTCCCAATCAAATAGAAACAGTGTACTTACTTTTTTTGAATAGCTTCTTGCCTAAAGGGGGGAAAAACACAATGTGAGTTGAAATGAATTTTGAATTGATAAAAAGAGTGCTGATTTATTGCTGAGGATCCATGGAAATCAAACAGGTTTCTGACTTTACTGTTATCTCTAGAAATAACTGACATATTTAGATTGTTTGTAATGATGCAAATAAATCTGTGTTGTGAAGTGGACAACTGAAGGCAGCAAATTTTTTGTTGCCCATTAAGAGTTCCTTAATTATTTTCTATCCTTTGGGTTGGTATCCAAGAATGCTTGTATCTTGGGCAAAGCGTTCCAGTGTTAGGGAACTTAATATAGCCCCAAAGTTGCATTGGATTGCCCTACCCTACAAAAGTAAATAGTGGGGCCTTGGAAAGGGATACATTCATTGAATTCCAAACCTCTGGCCTTTGAACCAAATCCTGCCCTTTTTTCTGTTCGTAAACAAGCAAAGACAATTCCTCTTAAGTACAGAGGAATGCTATGCTTTACATCCAGAAGACAGTGTGTGAGATTTTTTTCATTACCTGGAAAAAGAGGCTTCCTGTGCAAATCAACTATGAGGAGAAAAACTTGCTTCTAGCTGCCATATTCCTGAGGGATAGGCCTTATTCATTTATTTGAATGTATTTCTCTGTGAAACAATTCATAGAGCCACCCATCTGACCAAGATTAGAACTGGAAGCTGGAGTTTCCCAGCACATCCCAGATAATCTTTACCAGGTAAGTCATTGCATACATATGGCACCCTAATATCTGTGTGTAGATTCCATGATTTCCCCCCAGTTTGGGAGGGTAAAGGACAAAACAGGAATATTCCTAAAAACACGATTTTCCAAAAATCAGGGCAAAATCCTCCTATTCTGCATAGATTTTAAGGATCATTTGCTTCTGTAATGCTTTACTTCTTCCCTGAAATGATGCAATAACACTGACATTAAAAATATAAAATGCTGATTACTAACCACCACCCTGCAAAACTTATTCTATACCATTCTCAGTTGTATCTTAGTTGTAGGAGGAGAGCTACATTACTCTATAATAATCAATAATAAGGAGGAGTCTATTAGCATCTTTTCAGACTAACAATGTATCTGACTAAAATGAGAAAATCTTCATGAAGGCTTGTGCCCTTTAATAAAACATTTAAATTTGAAAATATGCTACCAGAGGGGGGGGGTTGTATATATTTCTAGGGACTAGAAATCCCATCAAATATAGTATGTGCAGTGTGTATACTTACTGGTACTGCAGGTGAGTAGTTATAATAGCCATTTTTCTTAAACTCTGCAAAGAGATAGATATGAAGTACATGCTTTTTCCCTCGATTAAGTTATCAATGCAATCAACATTTGGCATTATATGATAATGAGAAATAATCACATACTAGGTTCTTCTAGCTCTCATAGAATTTGCTGTTTTGAAAAAAAACATGGTGTTTTGATAAATCTCTAATTTTAAAATAACTGCTTTCACAAGCTTTTACTTTTTCTATACAAGATGATGATGGTAAATTAATTAAACTCTTAAACAAAATTGTTTTATTCCACTAGCAGGATTAGCAATATAGACAACAATCAATCTGGGTAACTACCACCATTTGTACACTACAATTTAACACTATAAAATGAATAATGTAGAGATTTTGGTTAGTGATAAAGACTCTCCTTGGAAAAAACAGAGAAAAGCTAAATAAACTGTTTGAAATATGTAAAGCTAGGCATTATTCCAAATTAGTCTTCCGTAGTCTGATGTCCTTCTACTGTGCTAGACTACAATCCCCATATTCCTAAGGCAAAGGTCACAATAGTAGGGAATTATGAGAGTTAAGAATCCAAACCGATCAGAATACATCAAATTGGAAAAGGCCTCATTAGGCTGAAGCCCGAAAATGTGCTCTGAGAGTCCAATATGGTATCCAGGAATACCAATGTGTCCACAGATACTTATTCCAATGTTGCCCAAGTTTCTAGTCCATGCTGCTTATTTTTTCAAAACAGATCTTTTAATTTCAAAGGTGTAGCACAGTAAATCTCAAGTATAATATTTGTAACAATGCCTGAACCTACATAAATCTAGGAAAAGGTGTTGCTGAAATCCAGTACATTTTTTATGTACCGTATTTTTTGGAGTATAAGACGCACCTTTTTCCCTCAAAAAAGAGGCTGAAAATCTGGATGTATCTTATACATTGAATACAGCATTTTTTGCCTCCCCAAACCCTGCCCCCTTCACCAAAATGGCAGTGCATAGCCTTTACGAGCCTTGTAGAGTGCTCCTGGGGGCTGAGGAGGGCAGAAATGAGCAAAAAATGGGTCATATTTTGCTCAATATTGCCCCCCCCCAGTCCCCAGGAGCACTCTATAAGCCTCCTAAAGGTTATGCATGCCCTTTTTAAAATAAAATCCGGGGCATTTTTTGCTCATTTTTGCCCCCCCTCGCCCCCCCAGGAGTACTCTACAAACCTCCTAAAGGCTATTAATGTCCCCTTTTTGAAGAAAAAACGGGCCCGTTTTCGTGAAAAACGGGCTGTTTTGGGGAGGTCTGCAGAGTGCAAAAACTTTTTTTTAAAATTTGCCTCTTCAAAATCTTGTATGTCTTATACTCTGGTGCATCTTATACTCTGAAAAATATGGTATGTCCTGCAGCCCAGGAAAAAAAAACACAAAGCAAAATTAGGTGTAGATGGCAGAGAGATTTGATATACTAGATAGGATTCATGTTTGTTTGTGCGCGCATGCGCACACAGGCAGCATGGACCCCTTTTAGACTCTGGAGAAACCTCCAGACACTTTTAGGAAAATATATTTAAATGCACACAATTTAATACATGGATATAGGCTGCATTACAAAAAAAACATATTAGTTATCAAAATATTTTTTTTAAAGAAACAACAGCAAAATCATAACATAATATATGTGAAAATAAAGGATTTTTTCCCATCCAAGTTCCCAAGGCCTCTGAAATCTACCCATGGACGTCAGGTTAAGAATTTCTGCACAAGAGAAAGGAGTAGAAAGTTGTGCTACTGCTTTACTTTCTCGCAAATGAGTGTTTCTGTTTGGCAATATTCATTTTTACCCTCCTGTTTTGGGATATTTAGATCCCTATGCTGGCTCAGAAATAATTTCATTCAAATGCTCCCTTAGCAAAAACTATTTTCATCTTGATCTACTTGCATATGTGTGGAAATGCATATGTTTTGTGTCATAATGATTTCTCCTAACTTTATTTATTAAAATGACTAACTAGTATTATGCACAACATAAAAATCTTTTCATTTTCATTCGATAGGAAGTTCTCCAGCTGGACAGATGTGAGAGATGTGAGCTCTAAAAAGCCTCACATGAACCCTGTCTGACAAACCAACTCTGAGGATCCTTTTTTGGATCAGAACCCCCCTGGAGGGGGGGCGAAGAAGGGGCAGCATCTCATCAGACCCAGGGGGAGGCAACAAGTCCCTCAAAGGTCAGAGATTTGCCCTTGAATCGGAGTGGAGGCGGCAGCCTGCAACATGGCTGACAAGATACTGATTTCCAGTCAAAGCAAATGAACAGGAGGGTGAGAAAGAGATGAAAGACTGGTAAGAAAATTTATCTAACCCACAGCCATAAATCAAACCTGGAAAAGACAAAGAAATTTGAAATCATAAATAATATTGATGGTCAGATTGGGATTTTTTCAAAAAGAAAGCAAGAAAGAAAAGGAAAATGGAGGGTTGAAACACTAGCACTCAAAAAAAAGTCTGAATTTGTTTGAAACAAATTCGGACAGAAAGGGAGAAAGCCAAGAAGTGACAAACCCACTCAAATACAAACTCTAAATCTGGATTTGAAATAGAAATCAAACATTCCGAAGGATTTACTTCATTTGAACTCCTTTCAACTAATATATCTTAAGCAACTCCAAAAAATCAAGAAAAAAGCTCAGTTATCTCACTGATAACTGATAACCTAACCTTGACTGTGCGGGAAGTTTTAATTAACCAACTGCCATAAATCAGAATTTGGAAAAGCAGGAGGCAAAGAGAAACATACTCGAATCTGGCTGTTTGCAAGTTTGTTCTAAGTGATATATTTTGAGCAGCTATAATCGACTGGAGGTGGAAGGTGGCAAGGGAAAGAATAATAACAGAGTCAAGAACTGGGAAATATGAAGGTTTTTTTTCTTTCTTCCCTTTTTTTTCCTTTTTAAGATGGCCCCGGCTTCTCTTCCGGTTTCACAGTAGTTGAATTAACTAAATGTAAGGTGGATCAGAACCTCAAAATAAGACTTGTATAACTAACTGCAATTTTGGAACTGGACATTAAGGAAGAACAAAAGACCAAGATGGCTCCCATCGCTCTTCCACACAGCAGCTGAAGCAGATAAGTTTAAGGTGTATCAGAACTCTGAAATAAGAACTGTATAACTAACTGTAACTTTGGAACTGGACATCATGG